CATTAGCTAAAGTGGTCTTCAGGTTAAGAACGGACCTCCAGAACGAATTTAAGTTCTTAACCCGAGGTACCACTGTACATTCAATGAACATTTAATATACACGACTCCCCTCAGAGAATCCTGGGAACTGTAGTTTACCCCTCACAGAGCTGCAATGTAATAATCTACAGTCCCCAAATTTCTTTGGGGGAGGGGGAAGCCATTTGTTTTAAATTATGACGGGGATCTGCCCTATGCGTAGTGATGACAGAGGTTTCTGATGTATCACTGCTGAGCTATAGTGGGCAGAGGGCAACATTATGGGGAAATCTGATGGGAAGGACAAAGCATATGTGATCCATTCAAGAGAGAGAAGAGGCCATTTAAAATGACTGAGGGAAGTGGCAGGCAAAGTGATTGATGGTGTGACTGAACTTGGAATAGAATAAAAGGTACGTATGTAAGACCAAGGAACATCAAATTGTCATTTTAAGGCATTCTTCTTAGTAGACAGGCTAATACATAGTCTTAAGTATATTTCATTAGAAGAAAGTCTGACAGAACTCAGGGGACTTACTTCAACGTAAACTTATTTAGGATTATTCTTAATATTTTCATATTGATGACCATGCAACATGATGGACTAGGGAAAAATTCGGTCTCTGCAGAATTAGGTCAACAGTCTTTCTTTCTTTCTTTCCCTCTCTCTCTCTCCACGTTCTATTAGAAAATCTCATTTGGTTTCCCCTCCACACAAATGGGAAAACGATGCGATATATATATAGGACTAAATATCTCCAAAGACAAGGGTAAACTCAGAAACAACATGCAAATCAAAATAATTACCTTTGGTAGCAATGCACTGGTTTCATCAACTTCCATCTTGTTGTCCTGCAAAGATAGTCCTGGCAAAAAAGGATTTAAAAATGCAGCAAGTTTCTCTTTCATATTTCTAAGGCTGTAAAAGCAATTAATTGGATATCATTCTGCCCTTCTCCTGGCTAAGCAAGCGAGAAAGCTGCAAATGCTATGTGCTGCATGGGGGCGGGGGGGAGTTTCAGGGCAAACCCCGCTACAGTCATACTTGTATCATGTGAGAAATCACATTTCCTGGCTCAAAGAGGCCACCTTTGTGTTGCTTATGAATTATCCACTAAGTAGTTATATGTTCCATGCTATATAATTAATAACACACAACTGAATGCATTTCATACACATACACATATATAATATTCAGACTTACAAAGATAAGGGTTGCTGCTGCACTGTAGCCTTCCACGACAGATAAAATTGCAAGATCAAAATGAGATTCACCTTACCCTGAAAATTAGCTATGTCTTTACAGTATTTGGCACAAACTCTTAACTGTACCGCCAAAGAGGAGACACACTGAACATCAAAAAGAGCATCAAAGCATCGCAATTTTAGATTCTGCAGAATCTGTAACATATGGATTCAAGTTCCAGTTCAGTCATGGATTTGCTGAGCGGCCATAAAGAAATTCCAAACTCTGGCTTCCCATCTGTAAAATAGAAATGTGACAGATCAGGGGTGCCAACTTGAATAAAATATGGGGGGGGGGGTAAGCTGATAAGCCCCACCCTACATAATCGATCACATGACACGGTGCACACTCACCATTTGAATACCAATGCCCATGAACTGGTGTGGGAGGGTATCAACCCCCCTTCATACGCCCCTGTGTGTGGGGCGCTGGCTCCCCTTTTGGTTGGCGCTGTGAGTCCCTGTGTTCCACAACTGTTCTAAAGGTTTTAAAGGTAAACAACTATTTCCTTAAAACAAGCCAACAACTTTGGGGTCCCCCCTAAAAAAAGGTCGACAACTCTGGGCAACCTAGGGGCGCCGGGTGGATCTTTGTACCCCGGTGCCACATATGCTGAAGATGGCCCTGTGAATGAGCTCAGTAGAAGGCAGTTCTCTCCTCCTGTTCTGCTTAGAGTGTCTCCTTCTTTCCTCTTTACAGACTGCAGTTTCAAGGATGGGACTGGGGCAGGGGTCTGCAACCCGCGGCTCTGGAGCCGCATGTGGCTCTTTTACACCTTTGCCACGGCTCCGGGGAGGATACTAGCGAGGGGAGGAGGCGCATTGTGCGCCCCGACACTCCCCACTGTGGCGGGCGCTGTACTGGCTGTGACGTCGCATGGGGGCGGTGGGTGCGTTAGTCACGCACCGTCCCGACGTCACCTTCCCGCCCGCCCGCTACATAGTAAGGGGCATGTACGCTGGTCACTGTTTTGAAGGGGAGTGAAGAACACACACACACAAAAAGGTAACTTGTTAATTTAACATTTATTTCTATGAGGAGGAGTAATTCTGAGGAGTCAAACAAAGAAATAAAAAAAGGGACAAAAAAGTTATTTTTATAATGACGAGTTTTGCGGCTCCCAGTTTTCCCCCCCTTCGGAAACGGGTCCAAGTGGCTCTTTTTGTCTTAAAGGTTGCAGACCCCTGGACTGGGGCAATGACAAGAAGATTGTCACCTCCACTTGGGTTGACTGTGTGCTGTAAGACTGGTCTCCTCATACTGCAGGGTCTTCCATTTTACATAGTGTACATTCAAGAAGGGAGGGGAGGGAAAGTGCTCTGCTGCAGGAATTCCTTTAGCTAATGGGGCCTCCTGCTGCCGCTGCACCGCTGCTGCATGATTTTTGTTCTCATCCTGAAGCAAAGTTCTTAAACTGAGGTAATATTTCTGGGTTAGCGGAGTCTGTAACCTGAAGCGTATGCAACCTGCAGCATATGTAACCCGAGGTACCACTGTATGTGTGTATATATATATATATATATATATGCAGGTTTTGGTGTCCTCGGGTGTCTTCCCGTGTAAAAGTTGGGGTGTCTAGGCGACGTTTCGACGAGGTCTCACTCGTCATCTTCAGGCTGGTGCTTTCGGCTTCTTGTTACTGGAACAGAGCAGGATCTCAGTGTTTGAGTTCCGGCTATCTACCGGAAAAAAAACACACACCAACCGCTACTTACATGCACAATCACACCACCACCCTGCACAAATAAACTCCGTAGCCAAGACTCTCATCTCCAGAACCAAACGCCTGGCTGACAAAGACCACTTGACAACTGAGTTACAGAATCTCTCCAATGTGTTAATCGCCAATGGATACCAGCAAAACAGGGTTACGAAGCTAATGCAAAAAGAAACACCCCCCAAAAACCAAGACACAGAAGAAAACAATGGCATGGCCCTCCTTCCTTATATCAAGGGCACTACAGATAAAATTAGCAAAATCCTCCATAAAAACAATATCAAAACAGCCTTTTGCACCAACCAAAAAATAGCCAATATCCTCAGAAACCCCAAGGATAAAATCCAGTTGGAAAACCAAGGGGTCTATGAAATACCCTGCAAAGTCTGCCCAGCCACGTACATTGGACAAACAAACAGACGAATAAATGCACGTATCGCAGAACACAAGAATGCCGTCAAAAAAGAAGAAAAAACTTCCTCTCTTTTCCAACACATGAAAGAAACAGGACACGAAATTAATTTTGCAGATTCCAAATTGCTCTCTAACATGGAACATCACCGCAAGAGAATAATCATGGAAGCCATCGAGATAGAGAAACACCCTCACAACATGAACAAGCGTGACGACACATCCCGCCTGCCAGACATCTGGAAATTAGCCCTCCCCACAAAAACCGACACCAGATCCAGAGGCACACAGAACGCCATCACCAATCAACCACACCAGACCCAAACCCAGACCCTCTCCACAGATAAATTACAGACACCATCCAGTAGCCAAACCATGGTGGCACCTCCGGATGCTGCACCCCCCTGCAATCCCTACACAGATCTGGCTGGCACAGGACACAAAACCACAGCTCGCCCCTATACACGAAGCCAAGCCAGAGCACAACTAATTGCAGTACAGCCATCTTCTCAGAAAAACTCTTCACAAAGTTCAAGAGGTCAAGACACGAAGGCTTTAGCAACTAATCCACACCTAATGACCCACCTAAGTGGTACTCAGGATATCACTCAAGAAATCACTCAAGATATCCCTCAAGTAATTAAGGAACAAAAGAAGAAAAGGCACACTAACCTGGGAACTTCCTCTCTGCCCAGAACATTGGAGGCTATACACCACACCCCCTCAACAGTATTTATAGGAACTCAAACACTGAGATCCTGCTCTGTTCCAGTAACAAGAAGCCGAAAGCACCAGCCTGAAGATGACGAGTGAGACCTCGTCGAAACGTCGCCTAGACACCCCAACTTTTACACGGGAAGACACCCGAGGACACCAAAACCTGCATTCCTGTACCCGTGAAAATCTACGAAAGCATATATATATATATATATATATCTGTGTGTGTGTGTGTGTATATATAAATCGCTTTGGTTCATGCAATGCCGGTCTGTCAGTAGAACCAATGTTATATATATGTTATATATGATTATATGTATAGACACACACACACACACACACACACATGTGTTATATATGTGTGTGTGTGTGTGTGTAACAAAAATCCTAGAACAAGCACTGGGATTGCTATCGCTAGTTAAAACAGTTTCCCAGTCTGCCATAAGCCATGCTCAGGCAGGAGAAGGGAAAGCATGAATGAATTGCGACTGGAGAGAGCAGCTTCCAGAGGACATTTTGCAGCAACTCCGCGCATTACAAGACATGGGAAGCACAACTGCATTGAAACTTAACGACGAAACAAAACTTGCCAGGCGACTTGCTACCTTTCTAAGAAACTTATCTTCATAAACAAACAAACAAACAAACAAACACCTTCTGGCAGGGCGTGTCACGTGCGCGGCGTAGAATCCGCGTGGAACCTACGATCTCTCTCGTGAGAGACAAGAGACAGAGTCCTGAGTGGGCGGAGCCTAAGCGCAAAAGAAGAAGAAGAAGAAGAAGGGGCGGGGGGAGAGCAGCGCCCGCATTCGACGCCGGACCGTTTCTCCCCCGGAACCTTGTTGCCTCCGCTTGCGTTACCGGGCCGGGAACGGTGACGCGGCACTATTGGCGGTGCACAAGCTGGCTGGCAGGCAGGAGGCGGCGCTACCAGTGCCGGGGCAGGACGCGGGGTCGGGAGCGGTGGCGAGGACATGGCGGAGACTATTGTAAGTTGGGTTTGAGGGGAGGGGAAGAGAGAAGAGAAGGGGGCACGTGGGGTCACCTGTCGTCGTCCTATCCCCCCCCCCAGCCAGCCCTGGGTTGCCCCGGGTTCCCCCGACGTGAGGCCTGTGAGGGAACAGGAGGCGCCGCCGCTCCCTCCCTCCCTCTTTGTCATGGTGAGGGAGGCGGCGAGTCTTGGGAGTGCCCCCCCTGCCCCGACTGCCTCGCCCTGCCCCTGGATCCCCACCCCAGTGGGGGGGGGGGTGGCACTGGCCAACTGGGTCTGATTCCCCTCCAGCCTCTCCATGCAGGTCCTGTGAAGGAGGCGGAAGAATGATTTCTCCGTGGGGGATTCCTCGGCCCTTCTTTCTGAGAGAGGGGGGGCGGTCCGGCCTGGGGATACTGGCACTGGCGGTCGCTTGCGTCCGACCTCCCCCCCCCCCCCAAAAAAATAACCACAACAACTTGGAAGTATCAAGCGATCCCTTCCCTGCTTTCACCAAAGGGAGGAGGAGTGAGGAAAAAACGGGGCACCGCAGGGCTAAGCCGCTTTAATCACAATTTCTTCTTCTCTCCCCAACCCCCCCAAAGGGAGAACAGTGGGAGCTGCAGTTCCCGAGGTTGTGGGGGAGGGGCTGCGAACTAAGAATTCCCAGCAGAGCACCAGACTACAATTCCCAGAATCCTCTAGGTGAAACCATGACACTTCAGCTAGCATAAAACTAAAAAAAAAACAAAACAGCGTGCATGTGCCTAGTTAGTCTCCCTTAACTTCTATCAAAAACCCGTGGAAGCGGGGAGCGTGTGTGGCCAGTGTGCAACCCACGGGAACAGTTTCTGCAACAGCAACTGTCTTTTTTGTTTTCCCTTCGGTTTAGTGATCATTTTATTTCTCAGCGTCCAGGTTCAGTTGCTATTTTTTCAAGATCGATGTGCTGTTGGGCTATTTGGCGGCCTGCCCAAAATGCATTATGTCTTGTGTGTGTGCATGCGTGCAAGTGTGGGCATAGGGGTGAGTGGGGCAAGTGGCGTTGGATCCTTAATATTTTTCAGAATTAAGTAGGAGGCTAGCTCACAGGCTGTAATTGTAATTCTGTGCCTCATGAGATCAGTAACTCTTAATGTATGGTCATAAATAGCTGAGTTGTTTTCCACTTGAAGCTTTAGATGCATTTATATCCATCTGACAATACCCAGTTAGGTTGGGTACAAGGCAAAAAAAACAAACAACCCCTGGATTTAACTTGTAGAAAATTCATAAGCGTTCTTGGCTTCGCTCCAGTTGTAGAATGTCAGAGAATAATAAGGGGAACTTAGTTCATGCTAGAATGTGGGAATACTCCAGCGGTTGCCTTACATTAAGTTGTTTTTGTGAAGAAGCCTTCACATTGTTTTCCTATGTCCATGTGGACAAGGTGAGAAATTAATCCCTTCAAATATAAGTTGAGTTAAGGCATTTTTTAATGGGACGAAGGAAGAAAATTTAGGGTATTATTTGAGGCATTTGGGAAAGAACAGATTTATCATAATGCCATATGCAACATAGGAAGCTCTCTTGCACCAGGACAGTCTATACTAGGCAAGTATAATCTACTCTTAATTGGCAGCAGCTTTGCAGTATCTTAGACAAAAACCTCTCATGTTACTTGCTGCTTGACCCTTTTTTAATTGGAAATACTACAGACGAAATGCAGGACATTCTGTGTGCAAAGCGTGTGCTCTACTTGTGTGCTCCATCCCCTTCCTATAGATGTTTGAAGACTCTCTGAATGTTCCATAAGAGCACACACGTCTGAAGGTTGAATTACGTATAGTGTGGGTGTATCCCTCCCTATAGTGCATACAGATTAATATCACATAGGCATGAACACATAATAATGAGAAACCATGGGCAGCTTGAAATGCTGTCTTTTGAATTATTAGGTCACTAGTACTCAGTTTTCTCAACAGCCTGGTCCTGTGAAGATTCAGGTGTATGTAACTGCATAGGATCGGACAGCACAAGTTATAGTAATGTGTGTGTGTTAGCTAGACGTAGCTTATGCCATTGTTAACAAATTGTTGCCAGTATCTATGATAGTATTGACCATATGTATCAATATTCATTAATTGTCCATACAAGTAAACGAGGCAGGGCCTTATTTGGGCATTTTTGGCATGCAGTCAGAGTCTTCAGTCTCTAGAGCGAGACTGGTGTGGTTTTAATGGCATTCTAGTTAAACCTGTTTTTGGTAGGGTTAGATCATCCACTTTGATTGTAGCTAAACGGAATGTAAGTGCCACTGTTTAACCTGCTTAAAAGCTAGGTTGTTTATGTAGTATTCTTTGTGGCAATTAAATGCCCCACTTGGTTGCTGACACCTGGTTTTCAGTGTAAACCAAGTTTTAGCAGTAGAACTGAGTCAGCATAGTTTTCAGTAGGAAGTGCAAATCACATGAAAGACTTGACAGACGATAGTTTTAGGAAAGTGCTCTTGTTGGGGCTTCTCTCAAAATTATCTTGTCCTTGCCTGTCTAGGAAACAGGGTAGTTTCCCTGTTTGTAAAGGATTGTAATGTATGTCACTATTATAAGATTCTGACTTACAGGTGGCTTTTAATATTGGCAGGTTTCTTGGTTGATATTCTCTGTGCTTTGGGCCATCTGCTGAGGCAGCTTATCTGCCTATCATCTGGACACTGCAACCTTTCAGTTTCAAAAACCTTTAAGGTTACTTTTCTAAAGCTACACAGCAAGCATTTTAAAAGTGTCTTCTAATAGTCTTTTATGTCTGTTACCACGATAGAGGAATACTACAGTTTCAGAGTAATTATGGACAAATGCTATATACTGTATTATTCAGATCCATTTTTCTCTCTGTGTGATTGGCATGTTAACACCCACAAGGTGAGTGCTGGTTGCTATTCTGTGTGCCATCTACACCAATGGATGGAGCTTTGGGGAATGTATCCTGCCTTTTGGAGAGGGGCTTTCCACTCAAATCATTATTTGCCTGCCCTCTGCTACTTGTTTCTAATTTGGGCATGCACTCAGGTATTTCTGTACTGCATGTGCACACTTTGGGAGGGGGAAAAACAATCACGGAAGTGCACCGGAGCAAACATTACTAGCTCTTAGTTGTCATATGTCCCAATAAATTAAATATAGGCTTTCACTTTTTGGGAAGGTGGGATGCAGGGTTATACATTCCCATTTGGTTTTAATTTGAAAATATAGGGAGGCCTTGAACATAAGTGGCATTTAGCTATGTTAAACTGCTAATTGATTCGAAGGACAAGGTGGGGTGTGTCAATAAAAAACAAAACAAAATCCCATATCCATAAGGTGCACAACTGCACATTACTCCCCTCCAAAAACAAGTACTGCAGCATGGAATACTGGACATTCTGATAAAGAGGTCTTACCTAATTCTGTGTAATTCTCTTAAAAATAAATAAGTTATTGATTTTAGATGTACAAAAAAGAAAATACAAGCTAACATCCATTAACAATGTTTACATATGGTAGGTGCATCAGTGGGATGGAGCAGGCTGACTCAATAGTTACTTCTTCTTTTTTTAAAGATCCCAGTGTATTTACCATGATCTCAGAAGTAATTCCCACATTTACTGTGTGAAAATAGTGAGCGAATTGATCCTGCAAACTGTGTGTGCCTTCAGCATATGGCAGTCAGAGGGAACAGAGGTCTTTCATTTAGGCTGGTGGAAGCATAACAGTTAAGTTGTGCCAATGAGCAAATGGAAAATATGGGTTTGGTCACCATGGACTGCTAGACACATGACAAACCACCCATCCAAAAATGCACCAGTGAGCTTCCACACCAGCAATGACTGCAGTTTTTATAACTGCCTATTTTTACTTACTGAATTTTCCATGGTAAGGGAAAATCTGGATTCAACAAAGAAAAAGTATAGGCTGGCATTTTGATGGCAGCAGTGACATCTGGATGCTGTGAAAAGGTGTGTGTATGAGCACCAATTCCCCCAGTAAATTCCCAACTGGAAACACTCACAAGTCTGAAGGTGATTTTTCAAATGGAAAAGAAAAGACCTATTGCATGATGTTGAAATTCAGGGTTGGGCCTGGAATTAATAGTGTGACTTGGTCTTAGTATTAGTCATTCTGCTTTCATACCAGAGTGGAATACTACAGAGAGTCACTGCATGTTTACTGTCAAGTAAGTTCTGTTGAATTCAGAGGGACTTGCTCCCAGGCAACATGCTGCTTTGTCATGTTGGATTTTGTTAGGTAATAAAAGCAAACATCAGAAAAATTGAATGTTAAAACAGTGTTACAAAACCACATTATGTTTATATACCGTATTTTTCGCTCTATAACACGCACCAGACCATAACACGCACGTAGTTTTTAGAGGAGGAAAACAAAAAAATATTCTAAATGAAACAGTGGATGTATGATTTTTGTGGTTCATGCTGTGGCCACAGACATGTGATCTGATGGTGAGTTTGGGGTAGCCCAATGCAAAAATCCCGAGGATCCATGTGGATCCATGCTAAAGTCACCCTAAAGTCGCAGGGGCACTGGGGGAGTGAACGGGAAGCAAGAGAAGGAGAACAATGCCTCTCTCTCTCTCTCTCTCTCTCTCTCTCTCTCACACACACACACACACACACACACACACAGAGAGAGAGAGAGAGTATCAATCCTAAAATTGCAGGGGCGCTGGAAGTCGCAGGGGCGCTGGGGGAGTGAACGGGAAGCAAGAGAAAGTGAACAATCCCTCTCACACACACAGACACACAGAATATCAATCCTAAAGTCACAGGGGTGCTGGAAGTCGCAGGGGCGCTGGGGGAGTGAACGGGAAGCAAGAGAAAGTGAACAATCCCTCTCTCACACACAGACACACAGAATATCAATCCTAAAGTTGCAGGGGCGCTGGAAGTCGCAGGGGCGCTGGGGGAGTGAACAGGAAGCAAGAGAAAGTGAACAATCCCTCTCACACACACAGACACACAGAATATCAATCCTAAAGTTGCAGGGGCGCTGGAAGTCGCAGGGGCGCTGGGGGAGTGAACAGGAAGCAAGAGAAAGTGAACAATCCCTCTCACACACACACACACACAGTATCAATCCTAAAGTCGCAGGAGAGCGCAGGGGCGCTGGGAGAGTGAACGGGAAGCAGGAGGAGGAGAAGGATAGCTCAAGCACACACACACACAGCCCCTACAGTGGCTAATCCAAAATCGGACAGCAAAAAACTGCAGGCAGGGATAGAGAGCAAACCCCGCTCTGCTTCTCTCCCTCCTCCCTGGCTCAGCTGGCTGAAAAGCTTTGCTGCTACTTAGCAGCTCAGTGGGTAGGAGAGAGGGACATAGAACACGGGGTTGTTTTAAAGCAGCCAACCAGACAGGAGCCGCTTACACTCGTGTAAGCGGCTCCTCTCCTCTCCCGCTCTGCTTCTCTCCCTCCTCCCCGGCTCGGCTCGCTGACAGGAGCCGCTTACACCCGCTTTGCTGTTTCAAAGCGAACCACGGACTGCTCACAACTGCAGCAGATTCCCCTGCCATCCGTAGGCATTCGCTCCATAACACGCACAGACATTTCCCCTTACTTTCTAGGAGGAAAAAACTGCGTGTTATGGAGCGAAAATTACGGTACTTAAAACTCATAGAAAGTATCAAGGTGGTGCAAAACAGTTTGTGCCGGTACAATAAAAGATAAAACACTATTCAAACAATGCAAGATATATGCACTAACTGTATGTGTACATTTAAAACATGGGCAGAACAATCTAAAGAGGGTGAATGAGGAAGAACCCAAGACACAGGAACCACCAAATCCAAAGCCCTGTCAGGTTTATGCCAACAGAATAAAAAGCAGTGTTTGTTTCCTTTCCTCTTTCCCTTTCTGCAGTCTTTTAAAAGACAAATCCCTTCCATTGGTCCCAGTAGATGGGAAAATAAGTACCGTATTGGCCCCAATATAAGCTGCACCCGAATATAGTCATACCTCTAGTTACATACCGCTCTGGTTACGTAACTTTCAGGTTACGAATGCGGCAAACCTGGAAGTGTTTACTTCCGGGTTTGCTGCACGCGCAGAAGCGTTCTGCGTGCTTCGTGCATGCATAGAAGCGATCTGCACGCACGCGCAGTAGCGGCCCTCTACTTATGGACTTTTTGGGGTGCAGGCGGCACCCCGGAACGGATCACGTTCGTAAGTAGAGGTACCACTGTATAAGTCACACCTTTGGAGGTGTGACTTATTGGAGGTGAAAAAAGAAGAAATACCAAAATATAAGCTGCTCCCTTCCTTGCTGCTCCTGGCTGCATACTGGGTAGGGTGGGGGAGCCATGCTGTGTTGCCGGCAGCCTTTCCCCTTCCTTCCTCGCTTTCTCCCTTCCTGGCCTTGGGGGAGACTTTGCCATGCTCCTGGAGCCGTTTGCCCTGGCTGCATACTGTAAACTTGCGAATAGAAGCCGCACTTTAACTATTCATGGTTGAAATTTTGGGGGGAAAGTGAGGCTTATATTCAGGCCAATACGGTATGTTGGAACCAGAGCCAATGTACTCACCCTGTCCCTGTTGTGTGTGTGTTGGGAACAGAAGGAATTTGGATCCAGCACCTCCCTCAACATGCTCACCTCCTACATGATGGGGGAGACAGCTGCAAAAATTTCCATGACTGCAGCATGGAGGCATCCATGCTCCACCCACCAAGAGGCAGACCTCTTGCTCCACCCATGGAGAGGTAGATCCACAAAATCCTGTGACCCCTAGGTTACCTTCTAGGGACTTAAGGATAGCTCTCCAGCTGAGGTTGCCCTTCATTTTTTCACAGGGCAAAATTGCAAAGGGATATCAGATTATTTTTCTTGACCTCTATGTATGAAAGCTTCAGAAATGTAAAACAAGGCAGCAGTGCTTCAGGCCCAAGATTACCTTCCTAGGGACAATTACCTTGAGCTGTTGTTTTCCCAGAGTAGATAGCTGCCTTTCTTTTTCCATCTCAAGAGGTTGCTCCATTGTTGCATGCCCCATAGGACGTGCATGATTTAACGCACTGTACTGCTGTGGTGTTTGAACTCCAGCTGCGATTGGCCCTGCCACCATGTGCAGTGGTCAGAAATGATGGAAGTTGCAGTTCATCAGCATCTGGAAGGCTAGTTTCCCCACCCCTGTGCTAAAATGAGAGCCACTGGCAGTTAATGATGCTACTTGATGTAATTTTTTTTCTGCTAAGAGAACAGCCTGAAAACTCATGAATGTTTATTGCTGAGCTTGTATATAATTCCTGCTGTTTTTGATTTGTAAACTCAGTCTCTATCAGGAAAATAACTTAGAAACCTATTATTGTGTGTCTTTAAAAAAGATAATATGAAAATGCTTTAGATTTTACTATTCCACTTATTCCTCTTCCTGCCAGTTATATGTTCCTGCATTAAATTTTGTATTACTGTCCTCTTAAGGACTTACAGGCTGCATTTGCGCTGGTTTATTTCCTACATTTAAAAGCCAGTTCTCTATGTTCAGTCTCTTTTGCCCCCAAACTCAGAACTTCACAGTTTTATTTTATTTCTAATTTTCTTCAAAACCTTTGCCATTCTTAACAGATAATTCGTGTCCAATCACCCGATGGAGTGAAACGCATCACAGCAACAAAGCGGGAAACTGCTGCAACGTTTCTGAAAAAGGTATTCCAGCTTGGCATATTCTTTGCTGTTCTTCTAAGGAAGCAACAATAGGGAACCTCTGTTTTCGCATCACAGCCAGTTTGTGCACCTGCTCTTTAGGATTTGGTTGGATTTACCCAGAAGCTTTCTTTGACGATGATTTAACATAATTAGAAGAGAGTAGTGGTGGCTTTGTGGTTCAACACACATCACAGAAGAAGCTAATCTTTCCAAAATTAAACTCCAACACCCTTTGGTTGGAAACCCACATTTGAAACTTTTATCAAAGCCTAACCTTGGTACATCGTAAAATGTCACCAGTGCTGTTTCAATCAGAGGTGTATTTTTTTAAAAAACAAGAACCTTTTGATGGCAGAGGATCAGGTGTAGTGGTTCAATACACCAGGCACTTACAAGCTTTACAAGTAGTGTGGTGGCCTCTGTGTTTATGCTTGCTTCTTTGGGGACTAGTGGGATTGATTTGTATGCTCATAAGCCAAAACAGTGATTGTAGTGCAAAATTCATCTGTTAGTTGGGAACCTCTTCCATAATTTAGTTGCCAAGCAAAACAAATCAGATGTCTTGATGCAGCCTGAGTCTGTAGTCCAAGCATCTAGCATGTATTGAATCCAGTGGAACTTGAGCAAAAATGGTTTCAGATTGGACTGTGTTATTATAACTTATTGTATGGCTGCCTTTTTAACTGAAATATAACCAAAGTGGCATGCAACATAAACAATATTTCATTTCCAAACACTACTCAGCAATAACATTTATGCTCAATATAAACTTCATAAAAACGGCCTAAAATTGCAATGCAACTGAAACCAAAACCATAATTACTGTAATTCAGATTTTCACCTATAGAACCTGTACAGTGGCATACATCAAAATTCAGGGAAGATCTTCCAGTAGGCAAGGACCCACAAATACACTTGCAAGTGACCGATTTTTATTTTATTTTGCTCTATCAAGAGGATGAGTTGGAGAGGGTCTCCACTGTTCTTGGAGAAGTTTGAGGACAGTCCCTGGCTCCATGTTGACTCAGAAGCATGGAAGAATGGCAGAGGCTTTTTCTGAGACTGCCCTGAACCACAGTGATCGTTGGAAAACCCTGAAATTTCCTGTTGCTTTCTCAGCACCTGAGGCTTACTGCAGTGGGGTTAAGCTCTTAGCTCTTTTTCAGCAGGGGCTCTTCCCCACCCCCATTGTACTAAACTTTGTTACCCACTGCCAATGGAGCAAGTTCTTTTTATGGGAAGTGGCTAGGTGAAACCCCATTGAGAGCAAATTCCATAATCCAAGACTGGCCTTTCTTACACTGAGCTCCATTTTCAAAGTCGAATGGCTGATTCGGACGACTGTTTAATTTATAACCATCTTACAGCTCTAATGGGGTTTATTTTGTGCATTTGCCAGAGTTGCAATAAGGTACTTTGCCTAATTACCTATACAACTAAACAACAGATTATGTTTCCACAGTAATTCCCATGTACTTTTACCCATGAACAGGAAGAGTTGAAAGATCTTGGTGACATTTTCCTCTTCTAATCGGTATTCCACTTTCATTTAGAAATTTCCTTTACCGGATTTAAACAATTGGGAGTGCACCAATTGGGCTTGCCTGCTCCCTGTTTTCCGGAGTGAAAATTATTCCCTGAAATGGGCCTAACCCTGCTTCAGCACTGACTTCAACGTTAATTGCTGACAAGTGTAGCTTAATTTGAAATTTCCACCCATACAATGTCTACATAATATGTATTGTGGATTCTGTGAGTGTGCATTTCAGATATTTCCGCTTCCACTTTTGTGTAATAAACTCCATGTGGAGATAACATCTGAGACTTGTGTTGTAGGGATAAACATACTGTAACTGTATGAGATTTCTGCTATAGACATTATGTTCTCTCTTTTTTCTAGGTTGCAAAAGAATTTGGCTTCAGAAATAATGGATTTTCTGTGTACATCAATAGAAACAGGACTGGTGAGATCACATCATCTCCCAATAAGTCCCTCAACTTATTAAAAATCAAGTAAGTACTTTGCAAAAGACATGGAGACACTGTTGGAGTATAGTAGGCTCTGTTTCTTTTTGGGCAAGGCTGCTCAGATTTCTTGACAGTGCCTCTCTTGGCAACTGAACAAAAATACCCACTCTAATATTCCCTATGTGGTGTTGTCTGTCCTATTTATGTCTATGGGTTTAGATGAAGCAGATCTCTTGAATCGAGATTTTGAAAGAATTATGAGGTACTATTTAGTAGCCTATTCTAATATGTTACAGTGCATTAATTCTTTTTTGACCCCAAAAATTGTTTTCATCCATTTCTTTCTTTGTTTACATGCACTTGGTCTAGAAAGAAGAAGGGAGAGCTGGGCTGCTTCTGCTGCACAATTTTTCCTTGGACACCTAATTTGATGATACAGTGGTACCTTGGTTTTCGAACATCTCCGTCGACGAACATTTCGGTTTTCGAACACCGTAAATCCAGAAGTAAATGCTTCGGTTTTCAAACTCACCTTGGAAGTGGAACATGCCACACGGCTTCCATATTGAGTTTTCCGTATTGTGTTTTCAGTTTTTGAACATTTCAGAACTCAAACCGTCTTCCAGAACGGATTACGTTCGAAAACTGAGGTACCACTGTACTAGTTCAAATAAAACGGATTTTAGAATACTATATGCTCTATATCATAAGAAACAAATTTGGAAGGTATGTTGCTTGGCCTCTAATGGCAATGCTGGATCTATTGGACCCTTCAGTTTGGATACAGACACGGGGCCACTGTGTGTGTTGGCAGAGCATACATAAGCCCTGCCCTGTTCTGCCCTCTTCCAGATCTAAATGGTACACACATGTTGTTGGCAGTCACAATATCAATTGACAACAGTTAAAACAGTAATAATTATTATTCTGATAAAATTAAAATGGGGTAGAGCAGTAGCTGATTCCCAGCGAAACAAGGAAGTTCTCACTTTTTTGTAAAAAGCCAGCAGGGAGGAAGCTGTTTCATTTCCCTTGGATGGATGTTCTATTTAAGGGCAGGTGACTAATTGGCTCCTCTGTTAGCTTTTCCTTTTCTTTTTTAATTGCCTTTTGCTTTGGAACGAAAAAGCAGCTGAACAGCAGCCAAATGCACCTATGTTTTCTTTAATTGCATGAGCTCTAATGGATAAGTCTCCTGCTTGTAGGCTAATTTGTGGCTTAGCGATAAGTTTCCTAGCTGTTCCTGGTGGTTTGCAGAGTATGGCATGCAGTCTTCATGTTTTTTTCCACTTAACATTACATCCAGTCTGACGCCTCGTGCATTCAGGTTTACATGGGTTGAATAATGAGCCCATTGGAAATCTCTGCTTACCCACTTTTGTTTAGAAATGTAGTAGAAGCAGCAAGAGCAGTAATATTTTACCATCATCCTGGAACGATATTGTCAAGTAGGTAAACCATTTTACAGATAAAAGAGGAACACCAGAAAACATTGTTTTTAGTAATATAACGATCCTATTGTAGCAACTCGGACTTCCTGACTGTAACTGTCTTCATTACAGTTAATAGAATAAAGAATTAAAAATAAACCCAGAAAATAAAAATAATAAAGTAATTTCAGTGTCATTGGCAACTGAACAAAAATATACTATTGCCTTGGAGTAATTTTGACTGCATTCAAAGAAAGTGTTTGCAGTAAATTAATTTTGTCTTTGACCCATCTCATCAGATCTCAGAAAATACGTCAATTTTGACATTAAAATGAATTTCCAAACTTGATCCATTCATTGATATTAATTACTAAAGGGGACTTCCATTTCTGCACAAGCAGCATTATTCCAGGAACTGTCGTGTATGAAACTAATTCTGTATGTTTTCTATTATATATTTTGTGTAATTTAATCGTAATAATAATGGAACGGTATTTCATATCCCAATACACTGGTTGTTTTCTGACTTGTTTGCGTGTAAGCCATATTTCCACCACATATGAAAATGGTCTCCTGGTTCCTTCCTACACCCCCAACACATTTTTGCATCATTTCTATTCTGCTTAACATCACAGGACTTAAATACCAGTATCACCTTACAATAGTTTTATTGTTATAGTCTATGAGAATCTCTGGGTTTTATGCCAGAGATTCTCCCAGACTCTCACGGAGATATTGCTACCAACACCTTGCACCACTAACCCAAGCACATTAGTTCACTTGCTCAAAAACAGTTGATATTTTCTGGATAGTAGCCTTTTCCAAGTGCACGTAGCTTCTTGTTTTTTATTATTTTTGTAAATAGAGCATTCCTCCAGTTCTTAAAGCTGTGGTCTGAGCCTACTAAGTCTGCTAAGCTTGGATGTTTCTGTTAGGAGAAGAAAAGTTAGGCTTGGTGTAGCAAGGTTCTTTCCAGAACCCTGGCACAGAGCCGGCTCATCTGTTAGGCAGACTGAGGCGACTTCCTCAGGTGGCAGAAGCCCGCAAGGTGGCAGAAGAGACACTGGAACAGAAGAGACACCGGTAGCAGCTGAAATTGTGTGAGATCTTGTTGAGCGTGCAAGATTTCAGCAAGATCTTGCCTGAAATTGGCGCTGTTTATCTGCCAGCAGTGAAGGTGGCAGGGCAGGCAGAGAAGCGGCAGCAGCAGTAGGTATGGTGTTGGCAGCAGAAGGGCAGGGCAAGATGACACTTCCCGCTTTGCCTCAAGCAGCAAAATGGGATGTGCTGCCCCTACCCTGGCGAATAGCCTTCCCCCTGTCTGCTGTTCTTGGTAGCCTATCAATAACGATAGAAGGGAATGTGCTGTTTAGAAGGAGAATCTGGAAAAGCTTTTATGTTTTCCATGGCTTCTCAGTTGTTCCATCCCTGATTGGGGAGGAGAGATGGGAACATCTTTAAAATGTAGCACAGGACAGAAGTTGAGTGATTGCGCTCTGTTGGCTCATCTTGGGGAAACTGCATCACCGAAAACCACATCTTTAAAAAAGCATCATCATTGATTGGCGTGAATTAGAAAGAAACATCATGCAGAGAACCAGAGATTCTTTAAGACTGCAGTCCTCTGCACAGGTACTTGAACACAACTAGATTTAACTTCCAAGTTAGCATGCATATAACTGATACAGTGGTACCTCGGATTACAGATGCTTCAGGTTACAGACGCTTCAGGTTACAGACGCTTCAGGTTACAGACTCCGCTAACCCAGAAATAGTACCTCGGGTTAAGAACTTTGCTTCAGGATGAGAACAGAAATCGTGTAGCGGTGGCGCGGCGGCAGCGGGAGGCCCCATTAGCTTAAGTGGTGCTTCAGGTTAAGAACAGTTTCAGGTTAAGAACAGAACTCCAGAACGAATTAAGTTCTTAACCCGAGGTCCCACTGTACTGATTTAGGCTGGATTCGGAGCTCCTGCTTGAGGAAAGGTGGGAACATTTCCCCCCCTGTGCCTCCCGAAAAGTTGCTCTGAAGGGTTAGAAGGACCCTTCTACAGGGGACTACAAGGGGAAGGGAATGGGTAAAAAAATGTCTTCCTTCTTCCTTCAGTAGGAGCCTTCATAAGACCTTATTCCTTCTGGATTAGAAAAAGCCTTTCCCTTTGCAGAAGGGACACTCTAGATCCAACCCATAATGTATAGTGTTAATGTCAAGACTGTAGAAAAGGGCAGGTGGTCCCCCAGGCCTCTGAATCTGGGCTCCTGTTCTCACGTAAGCCATACCCTCTTACCCCTAGGCTCTACCCCACCAGTCCTGTTCCATGGTGAGTGGCCACGCAGGAGAAAATAGCTTCCTGTAAGGACCACTTGGTTTGTTGCTGTGCACTGAGCCTTCTGCTTGAGGCCCTTTCTCAAAGCTCGGTGAGAAAGCCAAGCTAAGAAATGATAGTGAATAGTGTGTGTGCACATGCATGATAGAAAATGGAGTGTATGTGTGATTTGGCCCTGCCCACTTTCCCCCAAGAAAACCCTGCTTTGCCGGTGTGTGAAAAGGATTCCACACCCTGCTATGAGTTGCTCAGCCTCCCCACACCTAGCTCATCCCAGCTGCATTTCTGTCTTTCTGCAAATATGGGGAAGAAGGTCCATGGGAGTCATTCTATCCATGTTCCTTTGCTTTCTGTACATTGTGATTGCCAGCACCAAAAAGGTAGGGAGCAAGCAGATTCGTGATGGGATCGCTGAAATCCATTGCGTGACTCCCATCTGCCCATGTGAGTGTCCGACCTTGGAGCCAATATGGCGAATGTGTAGGGTTCACATAATTGCTTGTGAATTAGACACTGAGGCACTGGGATGGTGTGGTACCTAATTATGAAAGTGGTGTTCATGTTCATAATTGAAATTGCATAATTTCATAATTTTCATTTTCCCCAGAGTGGCTGGGGAAACTCAGCCAGATGGGCGGGGTATAAATGATGATGATGATGATGATGATTATTATTAATACTTTATTATTAGGTAATGTTTTTGTCACATTTTTGTCTCCAATTATAGGCATGGGGATATGCTGTTTCTCTTTCCCTCGAGTCCAGCTGGCTCTTCCTCTGAGAACATGGATACGTCATCGATGTCTCAAGGAGTTCGCCCTCTAGGTGTTCCCCAGGTGGTAGAAGATGAAATTGACCAGTACCTAATAAAACAAGATGGAAAGATTTACAGGAACAAAGATCAGCAACAGTAAATACCATTGCACTTTCTCTCTGGAATTTATAGAGCAGTTCTCAAAGTTCCATAATATTACACGGGGACATTTACTGTCCAAACCTAATTAATGTCAATCCATGTGATTCACCTTGCAGCACTCACTCTTCTCAGGCTGCTGGCAAGCAGGTCATATGAAAGGGGGTCGGGGAAGGGGCTGTATGGGTCTATTTCAAGGTTCCTCGTCAGGGGCAGAACTTGGGGTGGTGGTTGTTTTTTAAGGTGAGGATTGCTGCATTGATATCTAGCCCAGATAGTGAACATAGTGGTAGGGACATTCTTAATAAAGCCAGCTTTGTGAAAATGCTACCAGTCCTGTCTCTGTGCTGTCCAGGCTGTAAATTAGTCATTTATACCACAGCGGTTGTATGACTTGACTCAGTAATATTTATTTTATTTATTAGATTGATACACCGCCCTTCATCATAAGATCTCAGGGCAGCTCATAGAATAAAATGCCGGATAAAAACAAGCAAATAAGTAAAACAAAACAGCAAAACAATAACCCCCCTTCCCACAAATGCATTTAAAAGACTATAGAATATTAATCAGCCAAAGGCCTAGTTGAAGAAGAACGCTGGCGCCTCAAAATATATAATGAAGTTGCCAGGTGAACCTCCTTGGAGAGAGCATTCCACAAACGGGGAGCCACTACAGAGAAGGCCCCTTCTCATGTTGCCACCCTCCGGACCTCACATGGAGGAGGCACATGAAGAAGGGCCTCAGATGATGAACGCAGAGTCCAGGACAGTTTTATCTGGGGAGAGTTGGTCCTTCAGGTATTGTGGCCCCGAGCTGTTTCAATACATACTGGTACCCAGTCGATACAGAATTCGCAAAAGTTATATCATGTAGCACGTTAATGGACGACCCCCATCCCACCCCAATAATAAATAAATCATCTGTAATATTGTAAGGTAATGCGTATGGTGCTGCGACAGCCAATTACTCTTGCACAAAAAGTGTTAGTGTTTTGGAGAACAATGAGATGACTAGCCTTGCTAGTCGTCGTCACACTCATTTGAAGTTGATTCAAATGTTGATGTTTCTTTAAATATGAAAAACAATAAAACTCGCATTGCAGAAAGGCTGTGTGTATATTTAGTTGTCGTTTCAAAGAAGCTGTGAAAATGGAACCCAGTGGACAGAGTAGCAGGCGTCATGATTCTAGAGTCTCTGCCTGGTTTTATGTCTTTGTCTTTATGCTGCCTTTTTTTCTTTGTGTGAAATAGCCACATACCTACAGAGATGTCACAGGTTTTGTCAATTATGTTGAGACTCCAGCTTAGAGTTGCCATGTATTTCCTTTATGGAAGCTTTAAAGAAGCTTGAAACACTCAGCTCTCAAGAGGAATATTGAAGACGTCCCGTGGTTTGACCTGTGACTGGGAAGGGACATTGTGACTACCTGTTGGCCACTTGTTCCCTGTAACGATCATCCTATTGGTAGTAACTCGCAAAAGAGTTGGACTTAAAATTTAAAAATGGCATGGTTCAATTTAAAATGTAATAGCTCCGTTTTGCCCCTTTAGATGACCTTCCGTACATGTGAATCATTTATTCGGTGAAGATCAAAAAGTGGAAGCCCTTGAATAGTGAACTTTTGTCTAGACATTTTTAACAGCAGTTCAGTGATAAAAATTGTGCTCATAAAACCATCAAAGGCAAAATTCTCTGCTCTTTTGTTAAGAGACTACGCCTAGCTTTTCCTACATATATTCCTGGAGAATATATTATGTTGTTTCTAGCAATAGCGACAGACTAACATTTATTAAGGAAGGAACCAACAGTGAACCAAGAAACTGATTCTTAGAAGGTTATATGAGTTCTGAGCACTAGAGCTGTATTTCATTGAATGAGGATGCACTGCCTAGTGTTTCTCATTATCCTTTATCAGCTGGTATACACTGCACCTGTCCTAAAAAAATAGCCAATCTGTGTATTGCAAAAATTTATGGTGTCTTAATTCAGTGCTCTAAATAATTAGTTGCTGATACCTGGTGGTGAAAATTAAAGCTAGATGATACAGTAATTTAATTAGCAGATGTAGGCTTCTCTGATATGTTAATGTCTGACCATTATGATTATTATTATTTTTAAAGCAGACTTGCTGCTGGTTTTTCCAGTTACAGTGGTGCCCCGCAAGACGAAATTAATTCGTTCCGCAATTTTTGTCGTCTAGCGAATTTTTCGTCTTGCGAAGCACGGTTTCCCATAGGAATGCATTGAAAATCAATTAATGCGTTCCTAGGGAAACCGCTTGCCAGGCTGGCGGTGCGGAGAAGGGCTTTTCTCCCCACCGCAAGCCTTCAGCACAGGTACGGGAACAGAGGGGAAGGCGCGCAGCGCTTTCCCTCTGTTCCCGGGGCTTGCGTGGGAGGAGGGTTTTTCCTCCCCACCGCCAACATTCAGAACAGCATTCTGAATGTTGGCGGTGGGAAGGAAAACCCTTCTCCCACCCCAAGTCTTCAGGACAGCCATCCGAAGGCTGGCGCGGGGAGAAGGTCTCTCCGCCCCCCCCCCACGCCAGGCTTCGGTGCATCCTTCAGAGGCTGCTGCCATAGTCACGCGTCACTTCTCCAGCTGGGAGAGGGTCGCGGGGCTATGGTTTCTTTAGCCCCGCGCGCGCTCTCCCGGCTGGAGAGGTGACGGGCGCCTATGGAGGTTCCTGCCATATGCGCGCGTCACAACTCCAGCTGGGAGAGGGTCGCGGGGGGCTGGTTTAGCCCCGCGCGCGCTCTCCTGGCTGGAGAGGTGACGGGCGCCTATGGAGGCTCCTGCCATAGGCGCGCGTCACTTCTCCAGCTGGGAGAGGGTCGCGGGGGCTGGTTTAGCCCCGCGCGCGCTCTCCCGGCTGGAGAGGTGACGGGCGCCTATGGAGGCTCCTGCCATAGGCGCGCGTCACTTCTCCAGCTGGGAGAGGGTCGCGGGGGCTGGTTTAGCCCCGCGCGCGCTCTCCCGGCTGGAGAGGTGATGGGCGCCTATGGAGGCTCCTGCCATAGGCGCGCGTCACTTCTCCAGCTGGGAGAGGGTCGCGGGGGGCTGGTTTAGCCCCGCGCGCGCTCTCCTGGCTGGAGAGGTGACGGGCGCCTATGGAGGTTCCTATGGAGCTGTTCCTGGAACAGCTTTCCGAAGTGGGGCGGCTGGGGCAGATGTCCCCGCCCCCCCTCCCCGCTTCGGAACAGCTTTCCGAAGTGGGGCGGCTGGGGCAGGTGACCCCGCCCCCCCGCCCCACTTCGGAACAGCTGCAAAAGACGTCAGGGGGAAGCGGGGAAGCGAAGCGCTTCGCTTCCCGCTTCCCCCGGACCTCTTCTGAAGCAAGGGGCTGGGGGGAGATCGCTATCTCCCCCCATCCCCTTGCTTCAGAAGAGGTCCGGGGGAAGCGGGGAAGCGAAGCGCTTCGCTTCCCCGCTTCCCCCGACGTCTTTTGCAGCAAGGGGCTGCAGAGAGATCGCTATCTCCCCCCAGCCCCTTGCTTCAGAAGAGGTCCGGGGGAAGCGGGGAAGCGAAGCGCTTCGCTTCCCCGCTTCCCCCGACGTCTTTTGCAGCAAGGGGCTGCAGGGAGATCGCTATCTCCCCCCAGCCCCTTGCTTCAGAAGAGGTCCGGGGGAAGCGGGGAAGCGAAGCGCTTCGCTTCCCCGCTTCCCCCGACGTCTTTTGCAGCAAGGGGCTGCAGGGAGATCGCTATCTCCCCCCAGCCCCTTGCTTCAGAAGAGGTCCGGGGGAAGCGGGGAAGCAAAGCGCTTCGCTTCCCCGCTTCCCCCGGACGTCTTTTGCAGCAAGGGGCTGCAGGGAGATCGCTATCTCCCCGCAGCCCCTTGCTTCAAAAGAGAAGACCCGCTGTCCCCGGGGCAAGCTTCGTTTTGCGAAGCAAGCCCATAGGGGAATTCGTCTTGCGAGGCAAATCGCGGACGAAAAAACCTTTCGTCTAGCGAGTTTTTTGTCTTGCGAGGCGTTCGTCTTGCGGGGCACTACTGTACTTCTGTTAAATTTGTTAACTCCGTAAAAAATGTATGAAAACTTCAGAGTGCTTTCCGGCTGCTAGGGAACATGGTTGTTGACTTTTGTTTCTCTTTACACAGATGTCGACATGGCCCGCTGGGCAAATGTGTGCACTGTGTACCATTAGAGGTAAGGAGTAAAACTAGCGCTGCTATGGTAATATTTTACTTGTTAAAATGTCCCCCCCTCCCTCTGAATATAGTTGCTTTAATGGCAGCAATTGAGAGGGCGCTGCTGAAACATTAATGTGTCCTGTCTGTGCTGATAATGGCCAAAGAGGCTAAACAAGTCCCTTGGATATATCTTGTCTGGGCAGTACCTGCATTTATCAGGCTTTTGACATCTGTTTTTCTGCAGTAGTGGATTGAGCAGGCTATATCACTAAATGCTCAAGCAAAGCTCTCTCTCCCCCTGCCCTCACTAAATTTGTGTGCACTTTGCTTTCGTGGCATTATGGATTTTCCGTTCGTTTGCAGAGGTGCACCTCAGACCAACTTGTGCTGTATTCTTATATACTGAAACAGTTCTGATGATTATTTCCTTTCTCAGTTGTGTAGAGATCTTCTGATAGAGACAAACAGGAACACATTCACCTGTGCCAGAGTTCTCCAGGCATGCTTGATCAGTTAGCCTTTAGTTCTCTGCCAGTTAAAAAGAAGAAGACTATTCTACCCATGAGACAGGTTGGGTTTCTGAAGACATTTTGAGTGGGGCTAACACTTCTACTGTCTGGAGAAAGGCCTCCACCATTCTTGTCAGGCTAGTAACAGCTGTGGAAAAGAAGCACAAAGCTTTCTGATTGTTTCCACATTGAATGCTAGCAAAGGAGTTCGGACAAAAACATCCATTTGTTCAGTGATCAATGTGTTATCAAGTAGGTGTCTGACCTGGTTTTCCTTTATGCCTTTCTTTTTTTGGCAGCCTTTTGATGAGGATTATTTAAACCATCTGGAACCCCCTGTGAAGCATATGTCATTCCATGCCTACATCAGGAAACTGACCGGAGGCGCAGACAAGTAAGAAACTTGCACCTTTTCTTCAGAGAAAACTCTTTATAGATGATAAAACAGAATGTGAAAATCCTTAAGGTTATTTATAGCCGGGGAAACTAATTCACTTCAAGCAGTGGCAAAAAGGTAATTTTCAAAACAGTTTTGCAGAGGGGAGGAAAGATTGAGAACTTCATAGTTATTTCTCTCCCTTGATCAGCAGATCTTTTCCTAAGCCAGGACCACAGATTGATGCCATTGGCATAGTTTTGTGAAGGGAGGTTGCATTTATTTAAGTCAATGATTTGTGATCTCATATACATTGCAAGAACACTGCAAGGACTCTGTACACGCGCAAAAGAGGTGTGAAACATGCATTGCTTCCTAAGCATCTTGTCTTTCCATCACGACGAAAGCAACCTGCAGATGCTCTAGTTGATGTTGATCTTTCACACACAGACTCTAGTCCATGTGTCGCTGAGTCCTGTATCCCTGTTTCCAGCATGTCTTGACATTTTTGCTAATGCCAGCTATAATGAGGGGAGACAGGTTGACTTCTGCAATGCATTGCAAGTTACACCCCACTCCCAGATTTACACTTGGGCCTGGGACATGTTGTGTGTGCAACTATTAGAGCCCCGAGCCTGAAGAAATGTTCTGATCTGATGTCTGTTGCACACCACTCAGCACAGGAGCTTCTTTTGTTTTTATAAATACTTGGGTGGTATGTCCTTTTTTCCCTGTTTAGGGGGAAGTTTGTTGCCCTTGAAAACATTAGCTGCAAGATTAAATCTGGCTGTGAGGGACATCCCCCGTGGCCAGAAGGCATTTGCACTAAATGCCAGCCAAGTGCCATCACACTCAACAGGCAGGTAAGATCAGAACAGCAGAGGCATTTGTTAGCCTGCTGTTTTTCTTTTTGGAAATGAATGTCCAGCTTAGATTTGGGTGCGTTTTTCCCTTGGTGTAAACACGGTTGGTTAGCTTTTGCACAGGATGACAGGGACACGTTCTTATTCCTTGTAACTGGAGGACTCATGTTCTTGGCATGAGATAGGAGAGGAGCCTTTAGTGGATTTGAAAACCACCTGCTCAGATTTCTTAATACGATCACAAAAAGCTGTGGACTTGTAAGAATGCAGTAAGTGGTTGGTGAAAAGGGATCTAGGTGTTATTTTCTTTGAATTCCTGTAACGTATACTGGCTCTGTTCAGTCATAATTCTCAACTGGGTTTTAGATTTAATGTGAAGGTACCTCAGGCTTATGAGTTTTGCTTCCTGCTCCTTTGGGTCAGCCACAGCAAGGGAGTTTGGAAGCTTTTGCTTCCATTTTCAACCAACTGCTTCATTATGTCCCAAGCCAGGCATACTGGTTTGTTGATTTGGGAGAACAAGCCAACTTAACCAAGTTTAATGACCCTGGTTTGTTTCTGTAAACTGTAGTTAATGCTAACCACGGTTTTAGCTTTGACTATCACCGTCAACCATGGTGAATTGAAAATATAAATGAAAGCTTCCATCTTGTTTCTCATGACTCCACCGGAGAAGGAAGACAAATATAATATGTCAGTCTAAGGCAGGGCTCAGCAGGGTTTATCTTGTCTGGGCTGGATCAGTCCCGCGGAGATCCCTCTGTGGGCTAGATCGCACGAAATTTCCGATGCCGCGGAAGCGAGTCCCCACTGCGCTGTGCCAGTTTAGTGCAGCGCACGAGCGGGCAGCTCAGTTCAGGGCAGCTTGTGGGCCGGTCAAACGAACTCCGCAGGCTGCTTCTGGCCAGTGGGCCTTAGGTTGGTGACCTAAGGCTCATGTATAGCACTAAACTATGGTTGAGCATTAGCAGCTGAACTAGATCGCTGATTTGCCGTGTGAGAACTATTGTGGTGGTGGTGGTGGGGTTGAAAAAGTGGTAGAATAGTAGGGGCAAACAATTTCTCTCCACTGTTTCCCTCACTGATCCATAGCCTATACAGCCTAGGCAAGTCTGTTGAGAATCAAGAGGTGTCAGTCTATGAGACAGAATTGAATTAGAATATAGCAAGCTCTGATCTTATGTAGCCTGGGTTGACTGTGTTGAACATCATTGATCCTTATCAAAGGGCTTTGCTTGATACATTATTATGCTTTTCAAATGGCAGAAATACAGGCATGTGGATAACATCATGTTTGAGAACCATACAATTGCAGATCGTTTCTTGGACTTCTGGAGAAAAACGGGAAACCAGCATTTTGGGTACTTATACGGGAAGTATACAGAGCACAAGGACATCCCTCTAGGTATCCGAGCTGAGGTTGCTGCCATCTATGAACCTCCACAGGTAACAGATGCTCCGCTGTAAAATGTCTTGGTTTGCTCCATTTGGAAAGGCGCCTGGGAAACAGAATAGACCTTAGCACTTGCTGACACTAGAGTAAAACTGTCAACTTTAAAGCATGCAGCTATTTTGTGGTGACGAAGCCTCTCCACAAATGGCACATGTGTCAGCTTTGTGACTTTATAGTCCTGATACTGTGCATTTATATATGCAAGTAAGTTCTCCCTGAGCTCAGTGGGGTCTACTTCTATGCAATTGTGCGGAGGCGAGGCATTGGTACTGCTTCACACCCCATGGAGAACTTGTCTTGTCCACAGCATTTGCAGCCATCTCTGCAAAGAACCTGTTTATTGTTTGCTTTGGCCACCTTGAGAGAAGCTACTGCCAGAGCAAACAACAATCAGATCAACATATTTTTCGCACTATAAGACGCACCAGACCATAAGACGCACCTAGTTTTTAGAGGAGGAAAATAAGAAAAAAAATATTCTGAATCCCAGAGACGTGTTCTGCTGCATATGCTGACTGTTTGTGGGTGTGGGTGGGTGTGGAGTACACACACACACACACACACAGCCGCACGAAGTCTCTTCAGGGCAGGGGGAGCCTTCATCCCGCTGCCCTGAAGAGGCTTCGCGCGGCTAAGCCAGAAGCTAGAACAGCAACAGGAATCGCTGCACAGCGGGACTTCCGGGTTGACGCGATCTGGAAATGGCGGATTCCCTCCGAGCTCCGGAGGGAATCGGCTCCACTGAGGATGGGTCTTTGCCGCGCCGGCGACGCGGGGACCCTTAAAACCGCAGGCGCTGAAGCCTGCGGACTGAAGACTCGGCGGGTGCCTTAAGCGCCCCCCCTGATTCGCAAAGAGCCTTTTTAAAGGCTGCGGAGGGGATACGGGGGTGGCGTGGCACTGAGAGTCGATCGCTACCTCGGTGGAGCGAAGCCGCGAGCCATGACCGGAGAGCGTTGACTTCCTTCCTTGAAAATTTGGACTGAAAGAATCACCCGTGAGTAAGACGGATTGGGACTTTTGAAAAACTTTACCTTTAATTGGAGACGACCGGGGGGTGTGCTAAAAGGAAGTCCGCACCCCCCCCCTTTGCAGACCATCTAAGCAACGACACAAGAGATAAGCTGGAGAGCCTACCCTTGGTGGGGTGAGTTAAAAAGGACACTAACTTTCAAGATTTTACTAAAGGAAAATTTTGTGCAGGAGAGTGGAGTTTTGGAAACCTTCCTTCTGTTTTAAACAACCCCCCCGCCCGGGCTCGGGAACGTCCTGCCTTCGTGCCTGCGTTAGAGCTGCGGAGTTTGACAGCTGTCAAAGCTGCCAAACGGGCGGTTTAAAGTGAGAAATTGCCATTTAAGATTTTTATGGACTAAGACGAGTTATAATTGAGCTGAAACTGTTGGAAACAAAGTAATAATAATCAGTTTAAGGATTGTTGGTGAAAAGGCAAATAAGTAACCAGATTCCCCCTAGGGGGAATTCTGTGAAACTACAATGGATACAATGGCTGTGGAAGGAAAGTTACTAGTGGAAATCGAAAGGATGTTTCAATTGGTGGGAATCTTACAGGAGCAGAGTTTGGCCATGAACAAACAACTTGAGACTATGACCTTGGGAACAGGCAACTCTGCTCTTTGTATTGAGGACCTCAATGAGAAAGAATCCACAGCTGATTGGGAAACAATATCTACAGAGCTGGAAGAGACTAAACAACAAGAAAAAGAAGAAGTAATCCTGGGAAGTAACAACCAAAAGTTGACATCTGTGGAATACAAGCAAGGAGACGCTGGGAACATATTCACCACAAGTCTGCGAGAGATACAGAAGAAGAAGGAGGAGGCCCCAAGACAAAATGGAGTACAGGAATTTAAAATAAAGAAATATGATTGGGGCCTCCGTTTGGACTTAGACTTGGAAGAGATAGACTTTGTGGAAATACTTCAGCAGCCACCTTTGAATCTTCTTGTTGGAAGAGGACATATTTTGATGGTGAAAGAACTTTTCCCAGATCTGACGACTGCTGTAAAGGACTACCAACAGGACAGGCGGAGAGGAACGGAAATAGATTTGAAAGCCTCGGACGTGAGGAACCCAGGCTGAGAACTTCGAATTTGGATTTTTATTGGGAAGGGACAAAAACCGGGGATGGGAGGGAGGGAAGAAGAGACTCTTAAAAACTCTTAAGACTTTTAGGTTTGGTTAAGATGACTCTTAATTAAGATAAAATGAAAATCGATGGAAGAGAACTTAAGTCCAACTTATGAAAACTAATTTTTATTATAAAAAAAAGGAAATAAGATGAACAAGATTGTTAAGAGGAGAAATATCAACTTGCTGACATAATCTTGAAACAGGGATGCATTAGGGGGGTGGGGGGAAGTCAGGGAACAAGGTTATGAAATGGGGATTTGCTGACTTTATATATGTTTTTGTCTTTGTTTTTTCTTTGTGTATGTTTTGTCTTTATAAAAGCAGAAAACCAAATAAAAATTTTATTAAAAAAAAAAAAAAAAAAAAGGAATCGCTGCACAGCGATCCCTCTTGCTGTTCTGGCTTCTAGGATAGCTGCACAGCCTGCATTCGCTCCATAAGACGCGCACATATTTCCCCTTACTTTTTAGGAGGGGGAAAGTGCGTCTTATAGAGCGAAAAATATGGTATTTGCAAATATGGCTGCAACTGCTGTGGACTAGACAGGTTGACTGGGGCGAGGGGGCAGCAACAGCTCTTCTTTTCTCCTTCTCAACAGAGCTCTAAATGGCAGGAAAGGGTAATTGAAAGAGGCTCTGATCTTATGAATATTGTAGGAAGTCCCATTGAATTTGGTAGGATTTAGAGTGCAATCCTAATCACGTTTACTCAGAAGTCCTGTTGAATTCAAAGGAACTTAACTCCCAGATAAGTGGGCTTCATTTTGCAGCCTTGGGGAGCAATCCTAATTGACCCCCGCTTAGCCTTGCAGGGCCACCACCATATCCTCAGCCTTCATCACATGTGAAGATGTTGGGCATATTGTGGTGCAGTGATTGGGCCCAGTGCCTTCTGGATTCCCACTGATAAAAAGGTGGCAGGGGAGCGCCAATGCTTTGCCCTGCTGCACCAGCCGCTATTGAACTATAGCAGCTTATAGTGGACTGGAAATTTTTGAAACTGTACGGTCGTGTAAAGTCACTAGGTGGCACTAGCCGCTGGGTCTCATAGCTGCAAGAGGAAGTTGGGTAGTGTGATTCAGATGAATGTTAAGGGGGAACCACAACTTCACAACAGAATGGAATTTTCTAGTAGAATAAATTTGTATAATTTTCTAAATTAAGGTAAGAGAGTGTCTACAGGCACCAAGCGAAAACATTCCTCTTTAACTAGGCCTTTTGCTGTTAAACAGTCTATAGCCTTTTCAATATGGATGTGTGCTATTGCACATTTTATTATTATGTTATGTATTTTGTGTGGGTTTTTTGGTCAACTGCCCTACGATCCTTGAATGAAGAGCTGTATATAAATTTAATTAATGGTGATGATAGAGATCTGGTTGGATCAGTGGTTCATGAATTTTTGTTTGGTTTACTAGCCAAGCTCAGTCCTTCTTGATGACACCCTTCTTGTGACATGCACAGAGAACTCATGAGAGGGTGTTTTCCTCTATGGCTGGGCTTTTGCAAAAAAGTGCAGGCAGCACCTTTCTACTGCTCCCTCCTGCAAAATCTCAACAGGAACTAATAAAAATTAACTTTTATCTTCCTCTTCACTGAGGTGAGGGAGAAGTTTTTCTCCTATAAGCTGGACTTTTGCAGAAAGCACTGTTTGTATGCCATGGCTTCTGCCAATGTGAAGGGAAAGAAACTATCCTACCATCATGACATACACACACCAGACTCCCTTGCAAAAAAAATAGGGGCCATTTATTTCCCTGCTTATATGGATTTTTCAGGAGGTAGCAGCAAAAAACCTCTGGCACTTTACGCAAAAGCCCACCTTTCAGGACAGAATCCATCTTTCCTTTCTTCCCCATTCTTGGAGGAAATGAAATGTGGCTTCACTCTCACAACCTGAGTTTGGGTGAATACAGAAGGCTATTCACCGAATGAAGACAAGGCACTTGCTGTTGACAAGGAGGCAAGTAGGTTTATGCAACTGTGCATTGGACAATCTTTTGTAGTTCAAATTGACTTAACTCCTTTCAACTGATGTTGCATCAAACTTAACCCAGCTGACGTGTTCGCTTTAGAAGGGCATTTCTGGATTTGAAAGCTGCAAGTGATGGAAAATTTTGGTCAGCTATTTAAATAAATAAATCCCACCCTCCCTAGCCAGAGCCGGGCTCACTGCGGCTAACGCCAATAAAATTACAATAAAACATAATGGGGGGGGGACCCAGTTTATTAAAATACGGGTTAAAATACAATTTTAAATGCAGCCTCATTTTGATAGGAGCTCATAAATCAAAACCATAAGGGGAGGGAAACACAAGGGTCAGACTGAGTCCAAACCAAAGGCCAGGCAGAACAGCTCTGTCTTGCAGGCCCTGTGGAAAGATGCCAAGTCCCGCAGGTCCCTAGTCTCTTGTGACAGAGCGTTCCACCAAGTCGGGGCCAGTACTGAAAAGACCCTGGCCCTAGTTGAAACCACCTTGCTATGCTAGGTTGCTATGATTATCATTCTTGTTCAAAACTACTACTACTACTACTACTACTACTATTATTATTATTATTATTATTATTATTATTATTACTCCACCCATCTGACTTGGTTGCCCCAGCCACTCTGGGCTGCTTTCAACATACATAAAAATGTAATAAAACATCAAACATTTAAAAACTTCCCTATACAGGGCTGCCTTCAGTTGTCTTCTGAAGGTTGTGTAGTTACTTATCTCCTTGACATCTGATGGGAGGATGTTCCACAGGGTGGGTGCAACTACCAAGAAGGCCACTTGTCTTTATAGTTTCTCTGCCCATTATTAGCATCAAAATATATAGCATTTTCCACCATGCCACTTTAACATAGTGACCGGAGAGCAGCAAGTGAGGATACAAGCAGTTTTCAGAGTACTTACTAGTGTACCAGGTTGTAGTTTGAGGAAAGAGGACAGCCTGTTGTCCTATGATCCTCCTTTGGCCATTTTATAAAATGCTGTCTCAACACATAGTGACCTTGGAAGTGTTGGTGGGGAGCTCCTTGCTTATGCATAAAATATATGTCTGTTGGGTGATTTGAGACATGCAAGCAGTAATAATTCATTGGCGCGCTGTTCAGTGGCAAGATTCATGAGTTTCTGTTAAGTTACAAAATAAACTTACATCAGCGCCCTTGAATCCTCTGCACACCATGAAGCTAAGTGTTGAGCACTTTGTTCGCTTGCCAGTTTGTGTGTTTTGGTATTGCATCATGGTACAATGTGTAGAAACCAACAAGCAGCCGTGCTAGAGGGGTTGTTCTCTGGTTTTGTGGCTCCTGTGTGATTTATCAGAGCTGCACTAATGCTTGTTCAGCCCAAGATAAATAGATAGCGTCTACAGTTCCCATTTTAGACTCGTGATGATTGGCAGCTATTATGTCGCTGAAACCATGCGAATTAAAAGCATTGAGTTTGGAAGTGATGCAAACACTATTGCTGTGATTTGCAAGAGAGGCTGTGTTCCTTGGTATCCTGGCAACCCTTCAAGATCTCTGCTGGCTTGGCCAAAGGCAGACAAGAGTTACAGTAGATCTGAGACATCCTTGAACCAGTTCATTCGCCCTGTTAGTTGAGATCCCACCTGATTTAATGCATCTGTTTCCCCAACGAGAAAACTTTGGGTGGAAGGTGTAAAAATAGCTGATGTTGCCTGTCAGTTAAATACAAGCTTATTCTTTCTGGAAGAGAAAAGCCAGCTTGTCAAGTATGTAACTGAATATGGTAGCAGAGTTCTAAGTAGGAAGAATGGGAGGTGTCAATTCAAAATATTGACGGAGGATGACTTTTGATTGTTCCCCTACATATATATATATATGCACAAGTAGAACAGTACCACAGCAAAAAGTCAGCCGGGCTTTCTCCCTGATAAGTTAATTATTTACTTGCTGATGAACTTTCACATGGGAAAGCATTCAAAACAGCACCCCCACTATTCAGTCTGAAGTGGTACTTGGTCAGTAGAGCATGAGACTCTTACTCAGGGTCATGGGTCAAGCCCAACGTTAGGCAAAATACTTAGAGAAAAACTCTGACTCTCAAAGCATGTTTGAGAGAGAATCCACAATTTAGAGAGAAGTCTATGCACTCTTGAGATACATTCCTGAGTGCTTTCCCGTATTTTATGCTTCCATATGACACAGAATTTGACTTTGGAGATTGAGACTAGCTTGAATGTGAGGTGCTTATGGCAGATTTTTATAGCATGCGAAAGGAAATTATCACTGTTAGCTGCCTGTTAAATTTTCATATCAGTATTCATATAATACAAATAATGAATCAAGATTAAGGGGGGAAATTAATTAAAAGTTTAGTCTTAGGAAACACATATCGTACCATAGGGTGGTTCATAAGTATTTGGAAAGAAAAGAGGCTTCTAATAACTATATAGAATTATTGAAAATCCAGCCTTCTGTTTTCAGTCAGATAAGTAGGAAGCTAAGGAGCAAGGCAGAATTAGATAAGAGTGTCGAAGTTGGAAAGGGAGGAGAGACTAGAAGATAAGAAATCTGTAAATTAGAGACTAGAGAATAAAAGGTTGTGGGTCAGGTGGCTTAACTTAAAATTAATTAATACCTTGTGACACATTAATGTCCATCCATCAAAAAATATTGCTGGGTGCCCTATATAGGTAGGGAATCCAATGTTAAGCAAACAGTGATGGCGAGGGTAAAATTGCCAATGTGTGAGATCCTAGAAGGATTTCTAGATCACAAGCTTTAAACACAATTTGTAAGAGGCTTTGTTTTTTTAAAAATACTTCATTTGCTCCTTGCCTAAGAAGATTTGATGCAACCCCAGTGGGGATCACAGCTGGGCAGAGTGCTGCTGAGCTCGGGTCCTGCTTCTGATCTTCCTATGGACATCTGCTTGACCAATGAGGATATTGGACTAGATGGATCATGACCTGATCCTTCAGGCCTCTTCTTAGATTTTTACGGGTGAAAGAATGTAGGTTTCTTTACAGTTATGTGTTGGGAAATGACTGGTTTTCGTAGAGAAGCATAGTTCATTGTTTGTTCAAATTAATATTCAATAGAACCAGCAGTCAATAGCCTGGTGTCACACGTATCAATGTAACTGCAGCGAGACACAGCAGCTTGTCAATATTCATTCTCCTGACATTTAGCATCGTTTCGTTCTCGAGAACGAAGCATTTTGTCTCCTTGGGATGCTAAATGTCCACCCCTGTTTGCAAACTGGTTCTCTGTTGCTTTTCTCTTTATTTCCAGATTGGTACACAAAACAGTCTGGAACTCCTAGAAGACCCAAAGGCGGAGATTGTGGATGAGATTGCAACCAAGCTGGGCCTGAGGAAGGTAATAAAAACGTGTGTGGGCCGGCATATAGGGGGAAACCTTTTGTAAGGAGCTGGAAGGTTGGCAAATGTGCGGGATCTGGTTTGTTGGGAGCTAATTGGGCTAGTGTTGCTTCAGCATGCAGGCTGTACTGGAGGTTTTGTGACCTGTTCAGCTTTTTTCTGCTGCATAGTCCTGAGCCAACATGAAACTGAGTGGAAAGTGTGGGTTGGTGTAGTTGAGCAGATCTGTGTTGCCAGTAGCACAAAGGACATACAGATGTGGTCACATAGTTTTGAATTCCTCAGTCTGCTGATCAGGCTCCTGCTTATCAGCTGTTTATTATAAAGGCAAGTGAAGCAGGAATCTTGGCGGAGCACCTTAAACAGTGCCACAGCTGTGCTTTTCTGAAATGACTGGGGTAGAGAAGATTTCACCTCTTGGAAATCTCCTCCTTAATCTGCAAACTGTCAGCTTTTTAATAAATTCTAACACCACCCTTACGCAGATGCCTTTCAGATCCATACTTAGTTTTCTTGCCTTTATGAAGATACTGCTTGTGTCGCAAAAATAAAGGATAAAATACATTGCTTCCTCACCCCCAAAAAGGGTTGAATATTTTCAAACTTCAAATGAGTGGGTCAAATAGGGCAGATTAGTCATTCAATTTGGGCTTATATAAGGCATCTATGTTTAAGATATAAAACAATTTGTTTTTGTTTGAATCTAGCCTTTGTTTTATCCTAGTTTTATGGTTACTTTGCTATACAGATCATCACTGATAACATCTCCAAAGCATATCAGGTTTAGCTCTTGATATTTGTTGCAAGTATAACAGCAACATCTGAACAACAACTGAGTGCTTGAACAGTGAGCAATGGAGATGAATACTGTATGGATCTACATTTCAGAAAGGCCTGCACTTCTTTAGCATGATCAAGTGGGATTCAGGAAATAGGAAATTTGAGAGGGTTCCCTTTTAGATTAACCAGCATAGAAACTTGATATCTTGAGAGCACTTCTGTGAACAGTGTGGACACAGAAAAGTAAATGTATTTTTATGGGTGAGGTGCGGAGGAGAATCCCTGCAGTCTCCAGATCTTTCCGTAAGGAGGCATAAAACTACCGGTCTCACCAGTTGTCACTGCAAATGTGTGAATTGTATTCAAATGAAGTCTGTGTAGCTAAGGGAGTAATTTCCTTCAGGCTGCTCTTGAGCAGGCTTTCTCAAAGAGCTTCCTCTAGCCAAGAACATTTTGTACCAATGTGGGAAGGTCACCTTAAAAAAAATGGTAGAAGAATAAAAAGAGCATTTGTGTTTTAAGGTTGGCTGGATATTCACAGATCTGGTCTCAGAGGATACGCGGAAGGGGACTGTCCGGTATAGCCGGAACAAGGTGAGAAGCGAGCTTTTTCTTTTTTGTCCTTGCACTCTTTTATTTGCAGGCTTTGAAGGGGGGGGGACACCTTATGCAGAGAACTATGTGTGTAGATTGATGCCTTGCTTTTAAGGGTGGGCCTTGTTTATTAAAATTAGAATAATGCATGTGTTTGCTGGGAATTTAGAGGAGCCATGAATGATTTAGAATGGAGCTTTGTACGGATAGGATGTCAGGATGGTTTGAAATCTGTCTGGATTCTTGGATACCTGGAGAAGGTGCACTACAAACACAAAATCCTAGTTCGCTTTCCCTTAAATACGACTTTGCTTCATCTTGCTTGTTTTTAAAATGTTTCAGCAGCGCCAATACCATAAGATCCCATGGTAACTTGTTCTTGTATCTATCTAAGCTTACAAGAGTGCTTTTGTATACCATCCTTGATTTTCCAAATCTCCCGCAGCTGTGGTCACAGGAAGCAAGCTCTTATTTTGCAGTATGTTTCAACGCAGCACATAGCAATGTTCCACATACCTGATTATTGTTAATGCTTCCCTCTGCTGGATAATTTCTGTCTAGTTTTCCTCCTATCCTTCTGAATCCTCTTTCTAGACAGACTTAACACATTTGCTGCCCTTACCTGGACCTTCTATAGTGAATTATCTCAACCAACTACTATTCTGTGACCATAACCAAGTACCATAAGCTAATAGTAGGCTTTGCCTACTTCCACTATAGTGAAAATCAGACAGAAATCTAAAACAACCTGCTTGCTCATGATGAAGTACACCCTATTGCATTATTCATTTTATAGTTTGATCACACATTGGGGAAATTAACCTTTCATGGGGAAGTTATTGTCTGGGTTCTCCTTCTGCCCTAATTTTGCCACCTCCGTTCTTTACATCAACCAGATGTGAGCATGAAGACCTTGGACCATATGTCAGGCTCAAGATGTTTTTCACCTCAGCTTGTAGACTTTCGTTAGATTCTGGGCAATCTTAACTTCCACGAATCTGAAAACCAGTAAATTTTTTAGTTGTCAGTTCTAAAGAGAGCTCATAAAACCCGTGTCCTAAAAGTTCAGCGACCAGAAGCCAAATAAACTTGCCTGATTTATTTCTCATTTTTTTAAAAAAAATCTCCTTTAAAAAGCTTGGTTTTCCTAGTATGATAGGAATTGTTTGCTGAAACTACAGCTTTGCAGGTTGTAGTGCCTATGTGTTGTGATGATTTTCCAAGATGGTCATCTCTGCTAGATTTAGAAGTTACTAATCCATGCTTCATTTCAGAAAGCACTCCTGGGCTACCTTAAATTCCGCTCGTGCAATGGCTCCGTCTCTTTAACAGTCTCACCTTCTCGCCTTCCTTAGGATGCTTATTTCTTAAGTGCAGAAGAGTGCATCACAGCTGGGCATTTTCAGAATCAGCACCCAAACATTTGCCGCCTGTCCCCAGATGGTCACTTTGGATCCAAGTTTTTCACTGTGGTGGCTACAGGTAAAAACAAAACAAAATGCAACCTCTTTTGCAAACACCTGAAAGGTTTCATAACCCTCCACCCCCACTCCATTAAAGCAGCAAGCTTTTCAGAAATTGAGACCAGTAAAAGAAAACAGTGCTTTTGGCTTTCGGTGGTTTCTAACTGCATGTGCTTAGGAACCCTCTGCAGACTAAAAAAAGCCCACAAACCCAGGAGCAGTGGGGCTTGCATGTGTGCCCTTGCCCCCAATCTCTGTTTTTAAGCCCGAGTGTTTTCAACTTTAGTTGAAGAGGAAACCTCCTTCCCCTCCCCAAAATGAAGTTGGGTTATTTGGAAATGCTTATGTTAACAATGTTAAAACCGTATGATTTTTGTGCGCACGAATTAAGCCAGTCATTCTGCCTTCCCATTACGTCTTATGCTGGGTTGGGGGGGGTGCAGTTGCTGATAAACAGTATGCATCTTTCCTTTCCTTTGGTTTAAAAATCTCCCTGACAAATGCCCCTCCATGTGCAATATTTAATAAAGCTTTTCAGTGGTACCTTTTGCTAAGACGAGGACTGTGTGAGATGAAGCTGAAATCTCCTAATTGTATGAGAAAGTGTTGCTCAGTGCTGCACACACAAAAAAAGTCTACAGCACAACATAAAAATCACAGTGGCCTGGCCTGTTCTGTGATAATGGTGGAAACCCAGTAAAATAAAACTATTTGCGGATGTAAGTGTATAAAACTGCGCAAATACATGTGACTTCTTCACTGTATGCAGTCATTTATATGACTTCTTAACAAATCCTCTTTTGGAAAGTTGTGTACTGTTTGCCATTTGAAACTCTTTTAAGCCAATAAGGCTCAGAAGAAGAGTCCTTTGTACTTAAGGCAGAAAATCTGGATTTGATGCACTTACATTTATTGGCTCAGTGACATTTTATATCCATTTTGAGTGTGCTACAACCTGTGTACAAATATACCTTCTCCTTCTCGAGTGTCTTAAAGGTACTTTCCCCCCCCCAGGTGGTCCTGACAACCAAGTCCACTTTGAGGGCTACCAGGTATCCAACCAGTGCATGGCTCTAGTACGTGACGAGTGCTTGTTGCCATGCCGCGATGCTCCAGAGCTCGGCTATGCAAAGGAATCCAGCAGTGAACAATATGTGCCTGATGTGTTCTATAAGGCAAGTGTGGATAACCTCCATTGACATGTGGTCCTTTCTCATTTCTGGGAAAGGGGTGTGGTTCACGCTCTTCTTTTCTTTAAGGTGACTAAACAGTAGTGGCAAGCCATGGAGGATAGCCCTTTCCCAGTACTTAACATCTGGAATTTCCTTCTGCCCTTGGGAGGGTGCTTAGCCTTCTCCTGAAAGGATGTTGGAAGCCTAGGCTATTGTTTTTTCATGCCCAAGCTAGCTGTCAAAGAAAAAGGTGCACTAGCTGTTCTATCATCTTTCTCTGGGTTGATTGCTGCATGGGCAGCAGTTCTCCTGGCACCCCCTTCCTTCCTCTCCTCCCTAGCTCTGGAGACAACCTGTCTTGTCTGCCCTGTGCATTGGAAGGTGTTGCCACTGAGCCATATCTCCTGTCTACATTGGCACATTTGGCCTGTGTTGTTCAGAGCAGTGCATCAGCGTTGGGGAGCCACCTAAGTCAAGATTCTGCCATGGCTCCGCAGTTGTTGCTTTTGATGTTGTCTCTGTCAGATCCACAACGAAACCTCTGAACCTTGAAGTTATAGGGCAGGCACCCCCAAACTCGACCCTCCAGGTGTTTTGGGACTACAACTCCCATCATCCCTAGCTAACATGACCAGTGGTCAGGGATGATGGGAATTGTAGTCTCAAAACATCTGGAGGGCCGAGTTTGCCTAGGCCTGTTTTAGGGGGTCATCAGAACAGTAAGCTATTGTATCGATTGAGTATAAATTGGAGTATGCACTCTTGCGTGCGTGCACGCACACACACACACACAAGCTTGCAAACAGCAGTTCAGCAATATGTATGGAAATACAGATTTGCAATAGTTTCTTGTATAGATAAGCTCAATTTCGCTTTTCTTGAAAATCCTCCTATCATACTCCAGATCCTGTTCAGCTTCAGTCAGAGTTAAGCTACTTTGTGCCCCCTATCGAGCCCTCTGAATTAATGATGCCACTTGTGTTTAGCTGTGACTGTCACCCCTCTTGTTGACTTCGGATTCCTGACTAATGTTTGCTGTTTCCTTTGCCCAATTATGCTTAGGTGAGATGCTCAGTGAAGCAAAACGATGCAGCAATAAAAGCTGCAGGTTTCTGACAGTCGGCGAGAATAGTTTTTGTTACGTAGGATATACTTATAAGACACCCGGTGAGCAGCATCAGTTGCTGCATAGTGACAAGTAGCAAAATAGAAAACGTGGATTCAGAGAAGGTGAATTTCATGGTGGGGAAAGAGGGGGGATGAGAGCTTTGAGTGGAGAATGATGTAAAAAAAGGCATAGGTAGATCCAGAAGATTGGGCAGCAGGTAGGATATAAATAATTCCTCTGTTCTGTTACTACAAGCAGACAGCATTTCCCCCCCCCCCCGCCCTTAAGTCTGCCTTATATGTTGTGATTCAAGAAACAAAAAATTTGAGATATTTTCAGTACTTCACTTTGTGTCTATGTGTGCTTTCCAAACCAGAAAATTCTGGAGCAGACTTTAGAAGACTGAAATCTGATTACTCTCTTCTTTTTTTAGTATTGTGGTTTTTTATCCTCTCAGCAAAAGTCTCCCTAAGATGGCAGCATTTTGTAAGCAGTAATTAGTATGTGCAGCCGACACCCAATGCACAAAGTGTTGACGGTGGCACTCTGGAATGGGAATTTACCAAGGCCTCCACTATCAGTCCCACTTCTGTTTACTTGTACAGTGCGAAGCCATTTTGTGTAGGGTTCTCACTTACACTTTTCAATCCTGCAGTACAGAAATTTCCAGCTATGGCTTGTGACTCAAAATTACATTGCTTCTACTTTCTTTGAATACAACCTTGCCTGGCTATATAGCTGTCACTTGAATTGATCACTGAGCCTTTAAAATTCAGGCTGCTCGGAAATATACTCTGGAATTCAGGCAAGTGTTTCAATAATCCTTGAGCCAGATGCAACGTAATGAAATCACTGGAAAGTTTAGTAAATTCTGTGTTTAAGGACCATTTGGGCCTTGATAAATGAGTGACAGCTTCATAAAGGATCGTTAAGACATTGTCTTGGTGCCAGAATGTCTCTGGTAGGCTCTGGCCCTGTTAGAATACGAAGCACAGCCTTAGTCGTCAAGTACGGCTTTTCTTATTTTATTTGGCTGGTTATACTTCTATACATTTCAGTTTCTGCCTTGTACAGTAGGGGAGAGCTATTGTTATTGTTTATGCCATATGACTTTGACAACTTAGCAGGAACAACTTGTGGTCACCTTTTACATATTCAGAAAGCAAGAGATCTGCATCATCCATTTACAGAAAACACAGGAGCAAAATAACCCAAAGGTTCTGAGAATAAAATGTTTTCTTTTTTGAAATCCATTCAGTGCGTTTTGAATTTTTCACTCTGTCAAGGTTATTTTACCATTCTTTTCATAAAAGGCAGGTGTGTTGAACCAAAGGTGAGACTGTCTCAGAAGGCTTGCAAATGCCATTTAATGGGGAGTTGCTGCAAGGATGAGCTCACATATGTTCATAGATTCCCTTCCTTTTAATATACGCTATTGGCTCACTTTGATGCAGTGCTTATCTGGGATGCTGGGCTGTTGGCCCAGAGAGGGAAGCTATCTGTAAGCCTTGGATAGTTGCCACCTGTGCCCTCATGGCGCCAGGTGGATTGATGGGAGGTTCTGGCCAAACTGATGCATTCTATCATTTGTATAAGTAAAGAATGAATATTTTTCTGGGTGCAGACAAGTCATGGCGACACCTCACTGCTGTGGTGTCTGACCCACGTCTGTAGTGGCTTTGGGGGTTTTGCAGGCTGTGTTGTAAGCTTACATTTCCCTTTAATGTAGCACTATTCTGGCGTTCTTGACATCCTCCTTTGGTATCCCAGCAGCAGACCATTTTTTGCACAGACCCTCCTTTGGGCCTGTGGTTCAGAACAAAAGGTTGCCTTATTTTCTCCGTATTCTGTCCTTACCGTGGTATTAGGAGCACTTAACACTCAACGCCCCATTCTTGTGAGATGAAGGAATATGTTTTGATCCAGGCTAGGGGTTTAGCTAAGGGAGGCTGTTGTCCTGCAGTGTTGGTTTATAACATGCCCAGAACAGGAAGACGTTAATGAGCTACTTGGATTAAATTATTTATTGGGGTAAAAGCTTTTTAAAGGTTGGTCTCTTGGCAGCCAGCTACTACAAACCAGCACAACTACCTTTCCAGAAAATTAGGAGAGATCTGCATTGGAGGTTTTTGGAGAGAGTGTGTGTGTGTGTATGTGTGTGTGTACACACACACACACACACACACACATATATATATATATATGGCTTAAGCACTCACATGAAAGAGCTTTTAGAAATTTGTTGGATCCGCCCCAAGAAGCCAATGTTTGTGTAATGTGGAGTACATTTATCTCGCAAGGTTAGCAGCAGTTTAAATACAGCAGAAGCTATTGAACCCCTGTGTCGTCTAGCTGGGTAGGAGAACAGATGCTCTTTAAACTCCTGCAGGCAGAGAAGAGGTGATGTATGTAAAATCAGAGAGACTTGAAGCGGTGCCTATGTGAAACTTTGCTCATTGCATAAAGTATCCAGTCCTGGTATATTGTTTCTATACTTTTGGAAAACGTTTTTCCACGAAGTTGTCTCAATTGCTTGCTGCACAAAAGAAGCCCATGTTGGGATCAAAGCCACACGTCTAGTGCGTTACTGGCTGCAGGGCCTCAGTAAGCCTAGAGGTGCTTAAAGGGCAAATAACAGGCTTCTTCTCTCTTGAGCCATCCTTGGGTGGTGCGCATCAGTGCGTGTTTGTGGGACAGGGCCGGAGGCTGTTGCACCCATGACGGCATGTTCCAGCCATTGCTTGTTCCCATGAGAACAAGTATGACTCACTCATATCTCAAAAAGCACCAAAACAGGAAAACCAACAGCACCAGGTTTGCTCCAACTTTATGGAGCCAGGCATTTTTCTGACGCCTCTGGCCGTGCAAGACTTTTATGTCTTTACCACTCTCTTTATTTTGGCCCCTTAAAGACTAAATCAGCACTGGCAGCAATGCTTTTAACTGCATCTGGATGCTGAAATTTGACTGGTGTGAAGGGCTTGAGGCTGATGCTGGTGTGAACATTAGGAGTTTTGAGAACCAGAACAAAAAAAGCTGTTTAAATAGCTGTTCTCACTGTTGAAGAACACCTCCTCCCCTCACCCACCAATGGAGAGGGTGTCTGGAATGGAAAGTCTGATTCCTTGTGTTATTTATTTCATGTATTAATCACTTCCTATGAAGCATCTTGGGGACGCAGGTGGCGCTGTGGGTAAAAGCCTCAGCGCCTAGGGCTTGCCGATCGAAAGGTTGGCAGCTCGAATCCCTGCGGCGGGGTGCACTCCCGTCGTTCGGTCCCAGCGCCTGCCAACCTAGCAGTTCGAAAGCACCCCCGGGTGCAAGTAGATAAATAGGGACCACTTACAAGCAGGAAGGTAAACGGCGTTTCCGTGTGCAGCTCTGGCTCGCCAGAGCAGCGATGTCACGCTGGCCACGTGACCCGGAAGTGTCTCCGGACAGCGCTGGCCCCCGGCCTCTTGAGTGAGATGGGCGCACAACCCTAGAGTCTGGCAAGACTGGCCCGTACGGGCAGGGGTACCTTTACCTTTACCCTATGAAGCATCTCCATACAATACAATACAATACAATACAATACAATACAATACAATACAATACAATACAATACAATACAATACAATACAATAACATCTATAAAACAATTACAGATATAAAAACAATTTAAAATCCAGTGCAGAGACTGACTGAAATAAAAAATTTCCACTGAGGAGGCCTTGCTGAAAGCAAGAAGTCTTCAACCAATGTTAAAAAGACATCAGAGATTGTGCCCGTTTGATATGTAACAGGAGAGCATTCCAAGGGGCAGGTGCTGCCATGCTAAATGCCCGATTCAGATACCATGTGGAATGGACTTCCTGATAAGATGGCATCTGCAGGAGGCCCTCTTCTGCACAGC